GGAGTTGCTGTCCCCTGGAACAGGGCTCTGCTATGCAGGGCTTCTGGGGCCTCTGGCTTGGCCCTGTCTGCTGGCTCAGTAGCCCGAGCACTGTCTGGCTCCCTGGACTCAAACTTTTGATACGGGTTGGAGGCCTGAGCCACCTCATGCAGCACTGGGTTCAGCCTACTCCCGGACTCCATGCAGTGCATCTTGCACTGAGCTCCTGGCCTCATGCCAAGGGTTGAGGACCTGAGCCCCCAAGCACTCCAAAGATCCTGCTCTGTGCACTGGTCTGTGCACCATGTCTCTGGCCACATTACAGAGGATGCAGACCTGAGCCTCCTTATGCAGCTCCCAGGGTCTGGATGCCCCATACTGCACACTGAGAGCCTAGCTGCTGGAGCCATCCGCTGTTCCCCACAGATGAAAGGCTTCAGGGGCGCTTCCGGGCTACTGCTCCACCCTGCTGAGCAGCTCTCCTCAGCTTTTCTAAGGCCTGCTCTTCTCTCTTCTCCGTCCCCAACACATCTCCCTCATGCTAGGCACACAGCTCCTTTAATACTCTTCGGAGCTCCACCCCTGAAGTCTTCCAGACCTGGTAGTGTTGCAGTCTACAATCAGGTCCAAGGGGGAGCTCGTCTCCCCCTCCCCTCAGGAAAGGGGCATGATTTAACACCTCTTGCTGCCTCCTGATTGGTGGATGGGCTCCACCAATTTATTATTTAGTACTGTAGCAGGCTTGCCTTTCGGAGCTTGGGTTGAGTCCCAGGCTTGAGATTTTCCTGTTTTGATTGGTGGAGCCCATCCACCAATCAAAACAGGAAAATCTCAAGCCTGGGACGCAACCCAAGCTCTGAAAGGCAAGCCTGCTACAGTACTAAATAAATAAAGTTGTAATGGAAGAGGATATATGATAAGGTTGCCAGGAGTATCTTTTGCCATCACAGTTCTTTGCTTTAATATCATGGTAATGACCAGCATTTTTTAAATGAGTAATGATTATAGGAGCACATAATATCAGAGAGCAAGCACTTGTCAATTCTGAAAATAATCTGCCTTTTACTATGCCTCAAGCTGGATGCCCAAAAATGTAGACAATCAACATCACCAGATATTTCTGACAATCTTAAGTATTTAATACAGGTTGTTGTCTGAATGTCATTAAACTAGACAGTGTTTTATGGTTTCAGTCTTAGATTACTTTATGTTGAAGAGGACTCACGTATGATAGGACAGATCAGTACTTGAATCAGAAAATAGAGAGGTTGTACCCAATACATAGGGGACAGCATGCTTTTGTAGCATGTTCCAATCTTCCCTTTTATCTTTTTTTTACATGCAACACTGAGAAGTTCTGTAACACTGACTGTTCCTTTCACTTATCCAAGCCTTAACTATCCATGCCAACCACTTCAAACAAGATGATGGCTAAGAAATGAGTCTATGATTGATACATAACTGCCCTGACTCCTCTGAGAAACCTAGCCTTCCAACTATATTGCTCTCTGCGTTGGCATACCTTTTACACACAAAAAGATTTAATATATTGCATGCACAAGCACATACATTGGTTTAAATACTTGAGTGCACTAGATCAGTGCTCACTCAGATGAGGCAGGGTGCATAGGTAGCTGGCTATCACTCCTCATACTATTATCCAAGGGACAGTCAGGATCTAGTTCAACATCCAGCACAACTTAGCAAAACTCAAGGCCATTGTAAGGTGCTGAACTGTATCAGGCTTCAGGATCATTACACTAGAGTGTACTCTAGTCATACCTCTAGCAAGCTGGCTCTGCCAGAGGGTGGCATATAGGTAGTATAACTAATTCTTTGGCAGAGGTTTCTTCATACCAGGGGAATACTGACATGCCATTTCAAGGAAGATTTAATTTTCCTTTGCCACACTAAGTGTTATATAAAGGACCAGGATCAGATCTACTGTCTTCACTACCAAGAGAAATGTTTTCTCCAAGTGCTGCCCTTATACTTGTATTAATTTTAAAATGATGAGGTGAGTAGGGTTTCTTTTAAGCCTGCTTATGAAATATATATTTTAAAAGTATGTTCCCAGGATGGAACAGTTGTCAATATAAAATTGTGATGGAAACGGTACTAAACACTTAAGGGCAGGATTGTAAACAAGAAAATCTGCTATACAAAATGGTGTTCAAAATCCACATGCTTCATTCTTTTTTTTTAAATGTATAAGCATACAACATGGAGAAATCATCACTAGTGGTATTGTTAGAATTAATAGAACCCAAAACAATCCTGATCCCTCCAACTCTTAAAATGGCCATTTCAAGATCTTAAAACAGTCAACAGAAAAATGCTATAATACAAAATGCCTGTTAAACCTAGATCTGACTGCTATTCTATTTTGTATTCTCCTGTCTTCTTTAATGTATTAACACAGCTGGGGAGGAGACCATCATAAACAAGCTGTCAAGCTTAACTGAGCTAGTCCTTCTTGATCTTCTAATAGATATATACATGCAAAATCAGACACTTGTAATAATAACAAAGAACTCTATTTGGCCATATTCATATCTGTGATTATTAGCCCGTTAGAGCCCTTGGAACAGTGACATTCCAGGAGTATACTGCTGTACAAGCCAGCACCTGTTTGATCCTCTATTTCCTATATAACAATTGGGTGTGTAATGCAGAATAAATTATGTTTATAAAGGGATGATTTAGTCTAAAGAGAATCAAAGTAACGTTTTTAAAGGGCCATAGCATCCAGAGAAAAGAGAAACTTGCTGGGCAACAGAAACTGAGGAAAAGAGGAAATCTGTGGAGACACCTATGTCCATGCAAACATATGGTGAGCGAGAGGACAAATTACATTTTCTTTCACTGAGAACAAGCACATAGGTAATTTATGAATGGCGAAAGGGCACAGCAAGTCATCTAGAAAAATCTTCTATATAGCCAAAGTTTCTAATTTTTTTTTTTCATATTGTGGACCACATGACAAAGGATAGGTCATTTCAAGGACCACCTTCCTCCTATTCATGGTCAGGTACAGACATTATACTTTTTCCAGTTTAGGTGGTCAAAAACAGGTCTATACCTGTAACAGATCAGTAGTTCAGGACACATAGACTGCTTTAACAGTGATGGATCCCAGTCTAAGATAGACCTGTATTGATGTAGTATTAGATTTACTGGATCAAGCTTAGACTGGTGAATCAAACATCAGTACCAGGTCTGCTCACACATAATGGTAGGTTGTTGTCCACCAGCATCCCAAGGGACATTGTAGCTCCCACTAACCCTCCCTTCCAGAGAGCTGCAGCTTGGCTGCTCCAACCAAGCACCTAGCCAGCCCTTAGGTGAAAGGCCCCTTCCAGTCCATAACATCTATGAGTCTATGAATCCAGGGGGGAAATCCTGTGAATCCTCCTGGAAGTCGCTCCAGTACATGGTCCAAAATGTCCATCCCCTGTCCAGGTTCCATCTGAGCCCCAGGACCAGGCACTGAAGTGGCTCTGAGGAGAGCTTGCAGGATTTCCCCCACCAGCCCCAGCACCATATTCCCATCTGAGGCTGCTTTCTATGCAGCTGTGGGGCTCCAGTTCCTTGTGGGGCAGGCAGCCATGCTTTGCAACTGCACAGGAACAACTTCAGCCCCAAACTCAGCTCTGGCCCTGGAGAAGAGAAATTATGTGAGCCTTTACTGGACCCACTCCAGTGAATGGTCCCAGGCCTTGAATGGAACCAAGACAAGGAAGGCAAATTCTGTGCCCTGCTGACCCAGGCTGGGAATTCAGGGTGTGCCACTGGAACCACGTCAAGCAGCTCATGCGCCCTGCTCCCCACCTCAGTCCTGTCTGGGTGGACCCCTGTGGCTCCACCCCAGACAAAGCCTAGGGGCCCTCATGCTATTGTGAGTAGAGGCAAGCAGACCACCCTCCACTGCCTGCTTGCAGCTGACAGCTGCCTGATAGATGCCAGGACAGCAGGGGGAGGCATGTGTCTGACAGCCAATCAGGGATGGTACAGGCATTCAGCTGTGCTCAGCTGCCCTCGGCAATCTCCAGCATGCTGGAAAATGTGCAGTAGTGCCCCCTACCTTCTGGCCTCAGTAGTACAGGCTTCTGCGTGCCCTCCCACACCAAAGGGCAAATGTAAGTTTCATTTGCTCCCAATCCAATCTACACAGTTTGGAGAAACCCACATAGATTTGATCGATCCTGCCTCGGATTTTTTTGAATGTTTGTACTTAGCCCATCCATCTTTCATATCCCCATCCTTCACATCCCCATTGCGTACCTGGAAAAGTTAATACTGTGAAAGCAATATTGTCTGCAAATGAGGAACCAGCAATGTGACCAGCCAATGTTCTGCAGACCACCATCAAATGATATGTGCAGCACAGAATTGGAATTTATGCTTCAAGTATTGCAGATGTATGTTTAAAATGCAATACACACATCCATAGAGCAAAACATAATGATGTGAAAAAAAAATTCATATAGGCAAACACATATGCACTTAGTGTGCTTTTGATGCAGGCATGCAAATATTGAATGCACACAAGTTTGTCAGAGTTTGCAAGTGCAAATCACGAGAAAGATGTGCAACTCTGATTATTGTATAAGTTAGGCAGTTTGCAAAGTTTACTACATTTGCATGTCTTACCTTGCAAATGTGGCACAAACAGATTTACAAAGGAAAACTGATTTACCAGCTTTAAAAAGTGTAAGTAAGACTTGCATATGGACACAATTTAAATACACAGGTGTACAAAAAAACGCCCAAAAGACCAGACTTGTAATTGAAAAAGAAACACATCTATCTTATTGACATTAGACTATAGCATGAACCTTTATGGAAAACATGTTGGTTTTTTTCATCTGTCAAGGTAAACAAATAATAATTAAGCAAGCCACTTTATATTAATACAACCCCTCTCTCTGTCACTTTGCATCAATCTATGATCATCTATAATGGCATTTATTAGTAGGCTGCATGTCAACTTTGCACTTTGATACAGATTATTTCCTTACCAGCTGCTAAGGTTTGTCCTGTGCCTGGCTCACTGGTTATGCAACCAATTTGATTGCAGAGAGTAACAGTGAAGTAGTACCTTCTGTATGGTTTTAACTCTGTCACTATATAGGACAGCTCATGAGCCTCAGCTATATATAAAACCTGCAAGAAAAACAGATTGGAAGATGATTCTTGGTTAATAATGTTTTCATTCCTGTTAGTAGATGACATGCTAACTGATAACAAACTTGACTTGGAATTTGCAGATTCTTGCATTTAAACATGGAAAGCCTTGCAAAGGCCCATTAGTGAAGGAGGATTATTTCAAAGAATCTCAACAAGCTAGGATTTAAATAATAATACTTCCATCACACTGTTTTATGAGGTAATAATCCAGTTCCTGAGTGGATAAATGAGAAAACAAAGTTATTGCCTCGTAAAGCTGTGTGGTTGTGCTGTTATCACCACAAACAGTATAGAGTATAGATGATGACGTTGCCATTAAATATTGAAATCTGATCATTATAGAATAAGTGACACAAGTAGAAAGCATTCTGACAGGAGAAATGGTCTAGTTTTTCTACAAAGGATTAATGGGAAGATGACTTATTTTATCTCAATTTTAAAGTCACTTGTCAAAAAGTTAGAGAATGGTGAATCTCCATAAGAATTTTTTGTTCAGTTGAACCATTTATTGGATGTTTGTTAACTCTAAAAATTGGAATGGAAATTTCACATATTTGGAACACCAGCTCTAAAGCTCCTTACAAGCAATTAAGTTATCACTTCAACAGCCCCAAGAAGTAGGTAAGTTATCTCTATTTTATGAATGAGCAAAATAAAGCACAGTGAACTCAGAAATTGTATAATCAAAGACATGCTGGAGACAGAAATAGAACTCAGCAGCCATTTCTTTGCTCTAATTACCAGGCAATACTTTTTTACTCACTCTTTACATTTGTAGCATAATAGTATTAACCATAATAATTAAAATTTAAAAACGATATTGTCAAGCACCCAAAAATGAGTATGGCCTTAAAATAGTCACAGCTGAAAACAGAGATTTTTGCCCGGTCCCATGGCTCCAGACCCTGGAGCTTTAAAAGGAAGGTAACTGCTCCAAGAGTCAAACTGAAACTCCAAGAGTTGACAATGCTAAAAGGGATTTTAAAAAATGCAAATTGCTGAATACCCTCAAGGTTCATGTGCACATAAACAACACATATACAAACATACATGTGTGTACTCTTGTATGCATATCCACACATGCACACACATATATGCACTGCTTAAAGAACCATCACATGCATGGTTTGAGAACATTTAAATAATTTTCCTGAATTTGGAACCTCACATCTAGGAATTGCTTCACTGACCACTGAAATGAAGACACACCAGAATCTATTTAACAACACACACAACATTATAATTAAAAAAGAGAATTTCATATGTTAATGGATGAGGAAATTAGACAAACAGGTTATAGAAGCAATAAATCCATAAAAACTGACTGATAAGAGTACCTGGGAAAGTGCTGGCAAGATTTTCTGTTCGGTAACTAAGTTGATGCTATACCCCATCACTTCTCCTCTTGCTAAATTGTCTTGTGGCTTTTCCCAAGATACATTGAGAGAATACGGTGACATGGGGAATACTGATGGAGACGGCATGAATATGGGAGCTAAAAACAAATAAATGTGATAATTTATTATAAAATAAATGAGAAATGTGTGTCATTCAAGTTTTCTTACTGTATTGTAAAGCACTATCTGTTATAGACAATAACACTGATTACCAGGTCCATTTTTTTAAAGGCAAAAAGTATTTTTTGGATTTAAATGAAATGTTTATATAGATTCTAAAATTGCATAAAAAGGTAAAAGTAAAATCTTATCCCTACAGACTAAAAAGCTTGAGGTTTTAATGGTTTTAAAGATATACTAATCCCTTTTTAATATCTCTGTAGATGGATATGGGTAAGAAATACATTAAATAAAAAGCTCTCATGCAAAATAATCATGCAAAAAGTCATAAACTTGGAGAAAGCAAAAGCTGATTAATATTTTAAAATCTTAAAAGATATATCATTTGCTGGACAGGTTTGAAATTAACAGATCTCTTCCTTCTTACAGAGCATTTCTCCTTGTCTTAGATAGCTATGCCTGTAAAAAGATGGTTTGTACTGCAGTTAAATCCCCCACTAATCACCTTGTAATAATAGGAGCCCAAATCACAGCGTTTCTGTTATGTACAAACAAAACACTAACAGACCTCTTCTCCAGAACAAATTTGAGACTTTGTGATATCTACCATTTCAAAACATGTAATCATAAAGACCCAATTTTAAAAGGGGACTTAGCTTAGCCTCTCATCTGGTTGGGATCACACAACTGAGCACATGATTTTGATCAGAAATCTGGGCATCATTGTTGTAACTGAGATGTTTAATGCTTTAAATGCATATTGCCTTGGGTAATTAATACCAGAACTTCAAAAAAAAAGAGCAGTTTCAAGTTAAGCCCTTGACTTGAGAAGGGCCAACTTCAATGAGCTTAGGAGACTAGTGGGGGAGGCACTGAGGGCCCAGAAGGTAGAGGAGATGGGACTCCATGAGGGATGATCGTACCTTAAGGGGGCGATCCTCCAGGCCCAAAAGATAACAGTCCCTGAGAGAAGCAAGGTGGGTAAGAGTGCTCAGAAACCCCCTTGGCTCACCAAGGGCATTTAGGAATGCCTGAGGACTAAAAGGGTGGCGTACAACCAGTGGAAGGGAGCAGCTATCACCAAGGAGGAGTACTCCTCCTCGGCCCATGAGTGTAGGAGGGCTATTAGGAAGGCCAAGGCAGAGATGGAACTCAGGCTAGCGTCCAGGATTAAGGACAACAAAAAGTCCTTTTTCAAGTACATTGGGAGCAAGAAGAGGGCACCAGGCAATG